TCTTGACTTATCTGGGGAGCCTACTGGGCCGTTCTCTGGGCTTTCTTGGGAGCCTCTTCGGCCGTCTTGGAGCGATCTGAAGGGCCTCTGACGCGGTCCGGGACCGTGGGGAGGCGGAACATGGGAGAGCGCAAGAATGCTTCAAAAGCCATTGAAAAATGTATGTTTTTCGGCTTCTGGGGCCCTTTGGAGGGGCCTCTGGAGGCGCTCTTGGGGCGTTTTGGCGGCGTCGTCAGCCGTCCTGAGGCCATCTTCGGCGTGTCCAAGGCCTCTGGGGGCTGTCTTTGGGCGTCCTGGGAAACCGGAAATTATGCTTCCGGGGAGGCTTCCTGGAACATGATTTCGAACGAGGCTCTCTTGGGCCTCCCTGAGGCCGTCTTGGGGGCCTCCTGGGCTGACTTTGGGGCCTTTTGGGCCGTCTTGGGGGGTTCCGTCAGCCGCACAGGACGACCCTTTTGGGCCGTCTTGGGCCCTCTTGGGTCTCTCTTGGGCTGTGTTGGGGCTCAGCAGGGGCGTCTGGGGCACTGTGAAGACGAAGCCAGCGAGTATACTGAAAATGCACACTTTACGAAGGGAATGGGTCGATTTGTGCCTCTTGAAGGCCTTCTTGGGGCCCTCGTCGGCCATCTTCAAGCCATCTCGGGCCCTCTTGGGGCGCTCTTGGGCGTCTTCGGGGCCTCTTGAGGCTTTCTTGACCATCTGTACGGCCCGCGTGGCCTGTCGTGGGCAACTTGGAAGCGGCCCGGGGCAGTCCCGGGGGCTGTGACCCGCCTAAGGTTCCGGGGGGCACCCATGGGGGATGACGGCACCGGCCCGGGCCCCCCCCCGGCCTATTCCGATATATATATATATATATATATATATACATACATATATATGTATATATGTGTATATATACATATAGGTATCAACATGTATGCATGTGTATGTATACACACATGCTACATACATTGACATACGAGAGAGCGTGATCCACCGCCGCTTTACTCTGGAAAATTGCCCCCCTCTTCCTCCGGAACCCGGGGTTCCCACCCCCTCCGAAAATCCCCCCCCCCTGCTGGACCCCCCCCCCTCCCTCTCCTCAACAAAACCCCCCCCTCCCTAACCCCTCCCCCCCCCCCTCCCCCTCGAAAAGGGTGGGGTCACTACCGGTTCGACCCCCCCCCCCCCCGAAAACCGGAAGGGGGTCACTACCGGTTCGAACCCCTCCCCACCCCCCCACTCACCGCCAGCAAACGACTCCCGGTCCCTACCACCGTCCGCGCCACATCCCCCACTGTTGTTCCCAGCACCACTGTCCTCACCACCACTGTCCCCACTGGTTCCACCACCGCCCCTACTGTCCCCACCAGTGCTCCCACCACTGTCGCACTGTCCCCACTGTCCCCACCACTGTTCCCACCACGGTTCCACTCTCTCCACTTTCTCCACGGCCCCAACCACTGCCCGACTATCCCCACTGTCCCCACTGTCCCACTGACTCCTCCGCTGTCCCACTGAGCTGTCCCACTGTTCCCACCACAGTCCCCACTGTCCCCACCACTGTCCCCACTGTACCTCTGTCCCATTGTCCCACCGCCGTCCTCGCCACCGCCTTCACCACTGTCCCCACCACCACTGTACCCTCCACTGTCCCACTGTTTCCACCTCCCCCTGTCCCCACACCACTGTCCCCACCACCACCGTCCCCACCACTGTCCACTGTCCCCACTGTTCCCACCATTGTCCTCACCACTGTCCCCACCACTACAGTCCCCACCACTGTCCCACTGTCCCCACCACCACCGTCCCCACCACCACCACCGTCCGCACCCCCTCGGTTTTCGAGGGGGGGGGGGGTTCGAACCGGTAGTGACACCCCGGTTTTCGACGGGGGGGGGGGTCGAACCGGTAGTGACGCCCCCCCCTTTTCATGATGAACTGGGGGGGGGGGAGGGGTTCGAACTGGTAGTGACCCCCCCGGGTTTTCCGGAGGGGGGGTGGGGGGGGGGAGGGGTTCGAACCGGTAGTGACCCCCCCCGGTTTTCCGCCAGCAGCGGTAGAACACGCTCTTTCATACTTATATAAAAACAAATACAAATATGTGTATATATAATACATATATATATACACATAGACACATGTTAAATGGGGGCAGATGGGAGCGGATGGCATGATGTAACCTCTGGCCACCTCAGCCTGCCGCACGACAGGAGCGTCAGGAGCGTAGGCACCACCACTGGGAACGCTCCCCGAGAACAGCTGGGCTCGACCCCGACACCTCGGGCCATCTATGCACGCTGTGCTTGGCGAGCGTTTTCTTATTCGGCGTTTCGACATCCAGCGGGAGGGGGGGGAGGGGTTTGGCTCTGGACCTCTGCTTAGCGCCACTGTTTGCAACAGTGCGTCCATTCTGGGGGAGACCCCACCTGCTCGAAACAGGCACCCAAAACAGCCAAGATCTACTCCCTGGGGCGGGGGGGGAGGGGGCGGGGGCGAGGGCCCGCGCAGATCGGCAAAACAGGGAATCAGAGAACGATCCCTAGGCACTGTCCGCTCCCCAAGAAGACAACTCTACTCGGATATCAAGCGAGCCAGTCCCGGCCAGGATCAAGTCGGCGTGGTCAAAAAATCGTCCCCAGACTTTTTATTTTACTATTTTTGAATATTCCTCCTGTAGAGGGACAGGCCCGTCTTAAGGCCAGGCAGGCGCCGATCCCGCCCCTCCTTGCGCGGCCTACAGCGAGCGGCTTGCACGACCTCCTTTCGAGTCGTATGCTGCGGGCCACGTGCGCGCGCCGCGCCGCGCGCACGTCCGCATCCCCTCAAGACCGCTCGACGTTTCATGCAGTCCAATACTGCGTGCACGTGTGAAAAACGACGAGGACCCAAGTGACGGCTGAATCTGACCCTGAGACGGACTGAATTGCCCCAGGTGCAGCCCAAAAGGCTTTTCAGGAGGGCCTGAAGAAACCGACATCATTCATTTCTTTTGAGCTTTTGAATGGTTTCCATGTTCGCGCCCTTTCCAGCCTCTGATAGCCGAAGACGGCCCCAGATGCCTCCAAGATAATACCAAAAAAGGCGCCAGGAGTAGGGTCCCAGGGCGGCCCAAGACGCTCCGAAGACGGCCCCGGGAGAGTCCCAATGTTGCCTCGGAGACCTCCAAAACGAGCCGAAATCTTCTCAAGAGGGCCCCAGAACGGCTCCCCCGAAGAACAAGCGGCTATCTGTGTGCCCTCCGAAGCCTCCACGAGGCCTACAGGAGGCCCCAATGAGCCCCCAAAAGCCTCAAAGGATGCCCTCCCGAGACCTCCAGGGCCAGGGAGGGGAGGGGGGAGCGGGACGGGGAGGGGGGGGGGGGGCACAACGTAACGGTCGCCCCTCCCCCACCTCCCGCGCAGACTGTGGTGCCGGGAGCGCACTGGGGGAGGGGGGGAACGTTACGTGATGGGGGGGGAGGGTAGGAGGCACAACGGGCGGCACGGCTCGATTCAACCTCCTCCCCCTCGTTCTCGTCTTCCTCCTCCTCCTCCTCCTCCTCCTCCTCCCTCCTCCTCCTCTTCTCCCTCCTCCCCCTCGTTCTCCTCCTCCTCCTCCTCCTCCTCCTCTTCGTCCTCGTCCTCTCCTCCTCCTCCTCCTCCTCCTCCTCCTCCTCTGAGACCTCTGACTCCTCCCTCCTGCTGCGAGCCACACGTGCGCTGCGGCGCCTCCGCCCCACGGGGAGCCCCGCCCTCTCCACGTCCTCCCCGACTCCCCGACGACGATGACGAGCGACGACGAGCGACGACGACGACGACGACGACGACCACGACGACGCCGACGACGAGCGACGACGACGAGCGACGACGACGACGACGACGACGAGCGACGAGCGACGACGACCTCCTACTGCTCTTGTTCCTGCTCGTGGTCCATCTCCGACTGCTCGCCCTCCTCCTGGGCGGGGGGAACCAACAGGTACCGATCCCGCTACTCCCCGGTCCTCTCCAGGGGTGCGTTCTGACAAGAATTTCGAGGCGAATCCAGCGGTGGCGACGAGGGCCTCCGAGGAGGCGCACGACAGCAAAAACGACGGAAGTGTAGCGTCGAGGGTACCTGTTCCTCCTCCGACGGGCACCCTGCCGCGACTGCAGTTGATGCCTCGCATGCCTGCGGACCGATCGGCCGCGAGCGGAGACGTTGAGTCCGCCAGGCCCTCGGGCCGCCCGGCGCGTCGGACGCGGCCCGAAGTGGGCCACGTCACACCAGGCATGGGGGGGAGGGCGAGGAGCGGACTGGGAAGCGCTCCCAGATGCTCGGGCGTTGATGAATCCATGAAGCCAGAGTTTTAGCTCAACAAGAATTTCGGTATCGCTCGGACGTCCATTTCCTGTGCATTTTTCGGTTTCGCGCGTGTTTTTTTTTGCTCGATGGTCCAAGATGTTCCCCGCCGAGAAAAAAATACACACCTCCGCACGATGCTGGTGCTGCGCGGGCGGGGGGGGGGAGCGCGCACCCTTCAGTGCGGGCCCAGGGGGGCCCCTTCAGGGCCCCCCTTTTGGGCGTACAGTGCGGGCGCACCCTCCCAGTGGTGCGTACAGTGCGTACAGTGGGGCCCCTTCAGGGCCCCCTTCGGGCGTTCAGTGCGTGCAGTGCGGGCCCCCTTTTGGACTTACAGTTCAGTGCACCCGTCATCCTCCCCCTCACAGTACAGTGCGGGCGCGGCCGCAAGAAGCCCTCGCAAGAGACCCAAGCCCGAGAACCCATGCGCGATTTTTTTTTTGGGGGGGCGCCGCGGGGTCGAACCATGCAAACCTGGAGCACCCTGAACGCAGCAGCTCCTTCAACGGCTGCGGGAAGTCGCCGCGCAGCGCGAGGAGCGAAGGGACCTGGATGCCCTGGCGAAAAGCATGCGGTTTCTTCACGCGCGCCCCCACCGTATCACCCCTCCCGGTATGCCACGCCCGACAGGCCCTGCCGCCGTCCTCTCCGCAGGGCGCTGCTGCGACCACGCCCCCCCCCCCCCCAGGGGCGCTGGCCGAGATCCAGCCCGAGCAGCTCGATGGCGTTCTCCTGCGCCCGCGGCAGCGGCGGGGGGGCCCACCTCGGCCTCTCGAGGCTGGCCCCCTCTCAGCGAAACCTTCTGGAGAGGAAGCCTCGGCCTCCTCGGCGCCGTGTTAAAACCCTTTCGAGAAGATGCGAAGAGAAACAACGTGTTGAAGTGATGTGCTCATGACTCGTGATGTCCTCGTGTGGCGCGCAGCTCGTTTTCGTGGCGGCATCGCTTTTGGCTCGCAGCTTGTGGTTTGTGACGATTGGTAGTTGGCGGCTTTGGTAATGATTTGCGCGTGGTTCGCGGTGGTTCATGTCTCGTGGCCTGAGTAGTGGCTGGTCTGTGGTTAATTGGCCTCCTCTCCCCTCCGTGCAGCCCCTGTGCGCACAAGCTAGTTCAGCTTCTCCCTCACCATCCTCATCCTCCTACTCCTCTCCCCGAAATGTTTTCCAACTTCTCGCGGAGACTCAGCGCAAAGGAGCCGGACAAACAAAGACACAGAGAGGGAGAAGGAAATGGAGGCGGAACCGGCCCCCACACGACGAAGTCCCGGAGAGCATTGGCGAGAGTCCTTCCGAAAATGGGCGCGACCCTGGTCACTGGATGGGCTCTCGTGAGGCGTAACATATCAGAAACTTGGCTACGCACGCGGAGCCATATCCTCGCTTGGCAACGCTCACCCCCGTTTGGCAACGCCCGCTCCCGCGTAGCAACGCCTACTCACATTTGAGCAACGCCTGCTTCATGTTTGGCGATCTCTGCGTCACGTTCGGCAACGCTCTCGTCCGTTCGGCAACGATTCCTGCTTGCAGCGCCTGGTTGATGATTCCTCGCGCGACTGCTCTGGTAACTTTCTGCTCAATACCTTTCCTATTTCTCATCACCCAAACCCCCGTTCACTACTGACGAACTCGGGGTCCCGTTGATCCATTATCCGCTCGATGCTCCGACCAAGGGATCCAGTGATGCTCATCAGCTCGAAGGCCCAGCGAATCATTGTTGCTGCAGTTGGCGATCCGCAGCTAAAAAAACCCTTAGTGTTGTCTTTCCCTGGTGGCTTTTAACACCAGTATGCCATACCCTCCAGAGCAGAAATCAGGTCGACTATAAGAGACGCGACACTCTCCTCGAGGAAACCATTGTCGTAGGACTTGCTGTACCGGACGTCCTCTGGCGAAGCGAATGCAACTACATCGCTGCTCCACTCGCATCGTCCCCGCCGCTGGCGGACCGCCACCCTACGTGTCAGACGCGAGGTGTGCCCCGCCACAAGATGACTGCATGATGCAGTCCTTCCGCGTGCTAGACACGAGGGTGTGCCCCGCCCAGGGAAAAAAACTGCAACATGCAGACTACCTGATGCAGTTTGCATCATGTCGAACTCGACAAGACAGGAGAGCCCATAATCGAATCGAGCGATACATAGAATCGGCGATCGAAATTAATCGGATCGGCGGAAATCGGCAGCCGAGTCGGGAAAAGTCGAATCGGTAGACATCGGCAAGCTAGAATGCCTCCATTGACAAATCGGATCCCAAATCGGAATCCGGTGTCGAATCGAATCGGAATCGGAAGCCATCGAAATCGAATCGAATCGGAGGAGTCGAAATGAGCCCTGACAAGATGGCGACGGAATCCTGGCACCGACTGCTCCGAGCAAGCATCCCTCCCCCTGTCCGACTTCTGTTCTCTCGCTCCTTCCATTAAGCAGGGACCGACCGTCCTGGCATTCCTACAGGCCTACCACGAACTGTTCTTAGAACCCAAATATGTTCCAAGAACAAAAACAATGTTCTTATAACACAATCCCAATGTGTTAGGACAAGGCAGACGCAGCCAGAAATGCTCTAAGAACGTTTCGCGCAGACCACAACAGGTTCTTAGAACATTCTTTGTTGGGATACTATCGGGAGCGGCCAAGAGGGGGGTGTCCAAGAGGGGGGGGTGCAAATCATGACCGGCGGCATGTGCGCGGCCCAGCGGGGGGGCCAGGGACGTACTGAAATAAGAAGAGGCGCCATGAAATCTGAGGAAATGTCGTGGCCCACGCCATGATATCCCCCCCCCCTAGTCATCACCCCCCTCTTTGCCGCCCCCGATAATAGGGAAGCCAGGACGCTTCGCCACTGCTTGATTCCACGTCCCCCGACCGCACTGCCACCGTCGCCGCCCGGGCTCAGCCCTGCCCGAGGCCGAGCGCCCACAGATCGTTGGAACGCCACTGCGAGTCTGGGCCTGGGGCTGCGACCAAGGCGCATACAGTGAACACGTACAGAGGAGAAGGGGGAGGGGGAGGAGGAAATGCAGGAGGAGGAGGAGGGAGGAGGGAGGAGGAGGAGCGGGAGGAGGAGGGAGGAGGAGGAGGGAGAAGGGAGGAGGAGGAGCAGAGGAGGAGGAGGAGGGAGAAGGAGGAGGAGGAGGAGGAGGAGGAGGAGGAGGAGGGGAGGAGGAGGAGGAGGAGGAGAGGAGGAGGAGGAGGAGGAGAGGAGGAGGAGGAGAGAATGAGAATGAGAATGTCAGTTCACTAAGTGAGAGGAAAAAAGGGCCTCAAATGGGGGAGAGGGGCTTCCTCCTCGGGTTGGCCTCTCGGCAGGCCTGCTCGGCCTTGCTCAAGACCTTCGGCCACTGTCCCGAGTGGATCCTCCTCAGATATTCAGCCCCCGTGTTTGTGGCATTCTTCGAACAGGGTTTCCTGGATGGCGGACTTACGCTTGTTGGAAAAGGATCCACACACTCCACAGAACCACAAACTTAAACGCACGCTTAACATAAGTTGGTGGGTCTCGTGCGCCCAGCCCCCCGCGAGGTGAAGCTTCTGCTTAAATGGGAGCCTACAGAAATCCCCATTCACGTTCAGAGGCTTAAAGCAGGGGGAAAGTTTCCATTCGGTGGCCCGAGCCTGGATAGCAGAACTGAAACACCTGGAACAGCGAAGACCCGAATCATCGAGCACGTGCTGGGACCCCATTGTGGCTACTACAGACTGGGCAGGCGGAGGAGGGGGAGGAGGAGGTGGAGGTCCCGCCTTGGAGGAGATGGAGGAGGAGGAAAACGGGTCGCCTGAGCCCTTCGGAGAAACCCTCCATCCCTGTGTTCCATCCTCTCTACCAGTGGAGGCCCTATCACAAGAAATCTTTCACAGGAAACCAAACCCTGAGACCCCATGACGTCCCTTGATTTTTGGCGTGGGGACGTCACGGCTTCCACAGCAAAACCATCGAAACCCGAAAAACCCAGGGCACCCTGGAGGCAAGCAAGGTGTTTCTTGGCATGGGTCCCCACTATGTCGTAAGGATGGGCGGTACGGGCGCAAGACCCTTGGAGGCCGAAGCTGGGATTTCTGGGCGACGGGCGACCAGTGAAAACGGCAAAGGGCGGGCCGCAGTGACAAGGACGCAAGGGTACCCTAGAAAATGCGCGCATCCTTACTAAGCGCGTTAACTGTATTCCCAGAATGGGCATTGCGGTTGGAGGTGGAAAGACAATGTGCCACATCTATCTCCGAAAAACACCCCCTATACCGTGAGGCGATCCCCCCCCCTGCGAGGTCCCTTTCTGTGCACGCTCTCCCCCTGCCAGGGCGTCTTCGGTGCACGCTATCCTTGGGTCGGGCATATCCTCCTACGGAGGAAACATAACACATTGCTAACACATGTTCAAACAATTCAACAATAGTCAACAAATCATCCCCAACCTATGTTTTACTATTTTTGAACATTCCTCGTGTAGGCAGGCTGAGGCTGAGGCAGGCTGAGGCTGAGGCTGTGACTGCGACTGCCGTTGCCGCTGCGACTGTCATCGCGAACGCGACTGCGACTGCGAGAACAGCAGAATTCTGCAACTGTATTCTCGTCTGAATCTTAAGGGGAATGCTTCCAAATATGCTCCTGCACATCGCTGTTGGGTTGCTCTGCCGGGAGAATGCTATTCTTGACAATTCCTCGTGCAAAAGGACATGCCCGACCTAACGCTATCCCCAAGGTCGGGGGACAACGTGTCATAGACGGGCCGGCGGCGCCCCATCGCCAATTGTGCTCCGATCCCTGGGCTCCCACCGCCTTGCTGTTCTGAAGGGGCCCCAGGACACACAAAGAAGTACACACAAATAAAAGGATTCCCCCATCTTTTCCTATATTTTCTGGGTTTTTGTCTCACCCCCCACTTCCCATATTTTCCTATATTTTCCTTGGAATCGACGATTCATTGTGTCTGTGTGTTTTTTCCTCTCCTGATATTCGACGGAACTCGAAAACCCCTCTTCGTTCGGTTCCCACTCACCCTCTTGGCACGCCCGAAGCAGGTACGGAAAAACCGGGTACGATGCAAAAACAGCAAATGCTGCTCAAAACTGACAGCGGCAGCTGTTGGGCAATTTTGCCTCGAACGGACCACATTCGCGCAGACGCCGACAAAGTATCTGGCTCAAATGGGCAAGAACTGCTGCTGGTCTTCGTCACCATTCGTTCCGTACACATCTTGGTCCTCCAAAGCCTCCCCCGCACCCTCCTCCCCCGACGTTGCCTCGACGAGGCAGCGTGCCATGTAAAAGCGGCGAATCTGGAGAGACGCCCCACCTTCTAACCTTAATGGAACGAAGAAGGACATAATCACCGGACAGCTCGCCCCTTGGCCCCCCGCCAGCCACACGCCAAGGGGCGAGCATATATACGGGCGCAGCACCGCGCTGGATGCGTAGCCGTCGGCTGGGCCAACCAAGCGAATGACGCATCGCGTGGCGACTGGATGCCCGCGCCGAGCACAGATATTCTCTGTTCCTCCCTCCTCCTTCTCCTCCTCCTCCGCGGGCTTAAAACTGCCATCGAAATATCCTCACCCGCTGGCTTAAAACTACCACCGACATATCCTCACCCGCAGGCTTAAAACAAAACTGCCACCGAAATACCCTCACCCGCGGAAATAAATCTGCCACCGAAATATCCTCACCCGCTGGCTGAAAACTGCCACCGAAATATCCTCACTGGCTGGCTTAAACTGCTATCATAATATCCTCACCCGCGGGAATCAACTGCCACCGAAATATCCTCACCCGCTGAAACACCGAAATTTCCTCAACTGCTGGTTCAAAACTGCCACCGAAATATCCTCACCCGCTGGCTTAAAACTGCCACCGAAATATCCTCACCCGCTGGCTTAAAACTGCCACCGTAATATCCTCACCCGCTGGCTTAAAACTGCCACAGAAATATCCTCACCCGCTGGCTTAAAACTGCCACCGACATTTCCTCACCTGCTGGCTTAAAACTGCCACCGAAATATCTTCACCCGCGGAAATAAAACTGCCACCGAAATATCCTCACCCGCTTTCTTAAAGCCGCCACCGAAATATCCTCACCCGCTGGCTTAAAGCTGCCACCGAAATATCCTCACCCGCTGGCTTGAAACTGCCACCGAAATATCCTCACCCGCTGAAATAAAACTGCCACCGAAATATCCTCACCTGCTGGCTTGACACTGCCACCGCTCGATAACACTCGATAACACATCGATAACACCTCATGCTATCGAGGTGTCATCGAGTGGTATCGAGGTGCTCTCGAGCGTTATCGAGCTCGATCACACTCGATAGCACCTCGATAACACCTCGATAACATCTCGAACACATGTTATCGAGGTGTTATCGGGTGTTATCGAGGTGTTATAGAGCGGGTGATGGTCACCCGCTGGCTTGAAACTGCCACCGCAATATCCTCACCCGCTGGCTTAAATCTGCCTTCGAAATATCCTCACCCGCTGGCTGAAAACTGCCACCGAAATATCCTCACCCGCTGGCTTAAAACTGCCACCGAAATATCCTCACCCGCTGGCTTAAAACTGCCACCGAAACATCCTCACCCGCTGGCTTAAAACTGCCACCGGAATATCCTCACCCGCGGAAATAAAACTGCCACCGAAATATCCTCACCCGCTGGTTTAAAACTGTCACCGAAATATCCTCACCCGCGGGCTTAAAACTGCCACCGAAATATCCTCACCCGCGGAAATGAAACTGCCACCGAAATATCCTCACCCGCTGGCTTAAAGCTGCCACCGAAATATCCTCACCCGCGGAAATAAAACTGCCGCCGCAATATCCTCACCCGCTGGCTTAGAACTGCCACCGAAATATCCTCATCCGCGGGAATAAAACTGCGACCCAAATATGCTCATCTGCCGGCTTAAAACTGCCGCCAAAATACCCTCACCCGCAGAAATAAATCTGCCACCGAAATATCCTCACCCGCTGGCTGAAAACTGCCGCCGAAATATCCTCACAGGCTGGCTTAAGCTGCTATCAGAATATCCTCACCCGCGGGAATCAACTGCCACCGAAATATCCTCACCCGCTGAAACACCGAAATTTCCTCAACTGCTGGCTCAAAACTGCCACCGAAATATCCTCACCCGCTGGCTTAAAGCTGCCACCGAAATATCCTCACCCGCTGGCTTAAAACTGCCACCGAAATATCCTCACCCGCTGGCTTAAAACTGCCACAGAAATACCCTCACCCGCTGGCTTAAAACTTCCACCGAAATATCCTCACCCGCGGAAATAAAACTGCCATCTAACGGCCTGGTGGTTCAATTCAGTCTGTCTACCTCGCGAAAATCAAATTACGGGCTGCGCCCGTAAAACATAATACCTCGGAGGTCCGCGCGAGTTTCTCGGATCCGCGCTGGCGCCCCCTGGCGGCGCCTCCGGCGCCGCCCCCGGCGCGCTCCGCGCGCCAGGGAGGGGGGTCCAGCGCGGATCCGAGAAATCCGCGCGGACCTTCGAATTTTGATGTTTATGTTACTCTGAAGGGGCCCTGGGACACACAAATAAATACACACAAATAAAAGGATTCCCCATATTTTCCTATAGTTTCTGATTTCCGGGGAATCGACGATTAATTGTGTCTGTGTGTTTTTTCCTCTCCTGATACTCTTCGTTCCCCTACACGTGTAGTGGCTTGCACGGACGGCGCGTGCGCGCCGGCCATCCTGGACCCAAACGTGAGCGACGAAGAGCGGGCCGTGCGCAAGCCGGCATGGCGACCTTTTGCGCCGCAGCTCACGCAGGCCGCAAAGGCAGATCGCTACGCATTGGAAGCGAGGGCGCTCACAGTGGAGGCCAGTCCACAAAGAACACCCCCCACAAGGAACCCAACCCTGAGACCTCAAGGCGCCCATCAATTATTGGCGTGGGAGCATCACGCTTTCCATGGCAAAACCAGAGAAACCCCAGAAACCCAGGGAACCCTGGAGGCAAACGGGGTGTTTCTTGGCATGGGCCTCCACTGTACGCGCGAATGTCGGCGCCATTGGCCCATCTTTTCTCTTGTCGCGCATGTGAGAATTAGACGAGCGCGGTCCACTACTCGCAAGGTGAACTGCTCGCAAATGGCCTGGATCTGCCGTGGGGGATCTACGATAAATTACATCGAAGCAGACATGAATTTCTTTTGGGCGTTTGCGAGTAGGCACTTTGCGAAGAATGGACTGCACTCGGTGAAGAATGGCATCTCTTGCGGGGCACATCTTGATTCCGCTAGCTTCTGCCGGCGCAGCCGCTCTCGTCTTGCTTCCATCCCTCCCCCCCGCCATCCTTCCGGCGGTTTCCGCCGGGAGCGAGATGCCGACCGTTCGGCCCCTCGAAAGTGGATCCTTTTGTGAATCCTCTCATACGATCCGCGTCATTATGAGTTTCACGGCCTCTGGTGACCGTGCGCAAATCCTACTATCGGCCGCGAAAACGATCAAGGGTTTGCGAAGGGAGGTGACCGCGGGAGGACGAGGAACGGAAAGGAAGACGAGGAGGAGCAGGAGGCAGTGGCAAGCAAATGCGGGTGATCAGAAAGGGGGCTGAAACCCTAGGGCTGGCAGCGACCCCCCCCCACCCCGCCCCGGAACGAAAAAGGGCAAGCACTGGACAAGGAAGGAGGGGAAGGGAGACGAAGGATGCACCGGGGGAGCGAACGAACACCTCTGACGCCCCCAGGGGACTAACAAACAGCCCTACAGACCTACAGGTCAGCTTGCGAGCTCGACTTGAGTGAGCATCGTTTAACCGATCCCTATTCCCACTCGCTCCTGGGCCCCATTAACCTTTTTTCCCCCCCTGGATGGAAATATTGGCAGCTTCTGTCAGATTTCGAAGGGTCGATCCCCAATTGTGGGGCATCAGGTGATGGGGTATGGGGATGGGGATCGGTTAAACGATCCCCTTTGAACGTGCACTCGTAAAGCTGGGCGCTGCGCGCCACTCGTCTGGACAGTCAAGGAGAAGCCGAAGAGGGCGGCCCCGCCTGCGCCTTGCCACGGAACCTGTTGAAGGTTTCCTGGCACCGGCGGGCCGCTGTGCACGGGGGAACGACTGGGCTAGGTGGCCACATGCAAACCCTACCCCCACCCCCGACGATTTCTGAGAGGGGGGGGTCACTTCGCTCGGGGGGGTCGGGGTAGGGGCAGGGTCAACTTAGCCAGCTCCAACGAGCCATGGGGGCTCCGTCCACTCCCACCCGCCCTCACACAACATTATAAGCAAGTGCGTCGCGTCCGACGCCTGTCGTTCATCTTATATCGTGGGCGGCTAAAGATTCAGCGCGCGACATGAGCTGCGTCCTGTTTGCCGCGTATTGAGCAACGTCGACGAGAGACATGACCGCGCGCGATGTACGCCGCGCCCCGCTCCGGCCTCTCATGTTGCATCGTCGGCGACAACATGTCCAGCGCGCGAAGTGCGCCGCGTCTCATTCCAGCCACGCGCGTTGCACCGCCAATCGTTTCGCCCTTGCCGCGCATGGAGGAGGGGGAGGAGGGGGAGGAAGAGGAGGAGGAGGAGGAGGAGGAGGAGGAGGACGGGAGGGAGAGAGGGAGGGAGAAACTGAGGAGGAAGAGGAGAACTCCTCTTGAGAATTCGCGGGGCGTCCTGGAAATTTTCCGGCATGCGCCTGAAAGCCTCTTGGATATATCTTCCGGATTGGAACATTGTCAACACAAGTAGGCGCTAACCTCACAATCGTTCAAACACCAAATGAAAATAAATATTTGTGCTGCCCCCCAAAACCTCCTGGACGCCGTTTTTCGACCTCTTGGGGATCTCCTCAGGCACTTGCTTGAACCGCACTCCCTTTAGGAATTCTGACTTGCCGCCCGCCCGGCTCCTCAACCCGAGGGGCCGTAGCGTCGACGACAAGAAAGTCCATGTTGACGAGCAGGCGTCCCCGAGCGATGTGCGCCGGCCAAAATGGCCCAGGATGGCCTCCAAGATGCTTCCAAAACAGCCAAGATGGCCTCCAAGACGGTTAAGATGGCCCCAAGATGCATCCAAGACGGCCCAAGATGGCCTCAACATGGTCTAAGACGGCCCAAAAGGCCCGCAAGAGGCCTCCAAGACGGCCCAAGAGGCGTCCAAGAGGTTCTCCAGGAAGGCCCGAAGAGACGGAACTCATTGATTTTCCCCAAGGTTTTTGAAGGATTTGGGCATTTGCGTCTTTTCTGCTGTCCGACGGCCCAAGACGGCCCAAGCGGCTCCCAAGATCGCTCCAAGATCGCCCCAGAGGCCTCCAAGATCGCCCCATGACGGCCCCAAGACCGCCCCAAGAGGGCCCGAAGACGACCCAAAAGGCCTCCAAGACGCCCAAAATGTCCTCTAAGACGGTGCTGGAGCACCCCAAGAGGGCCCCAAGTCGGCCCATAAAGGCTACCCAAACGGCTTCCGACGGCGTCAGACGGGCCAGGAGCCCACCAAGATGGCCGAAGGTGGCTCGCAGCTGGCCCAAGACGGCCCAAGAGGCCTCCAAGAGGGCCTCCAGGAAGGCCAGAAAAGGCCGAAAAGAGTGATTTCCCATAGATGTTTGAAGGATTTGGGCAGTTGCTTCTTTTCGGCATTCCGACGGCGCGATACGGCCCAAGAGCCCCCAAAGATCGCCCAAGGATCGCCCAAGAGGCCTCCAAGATGGCCCCAGAACGGCCCAAGAGGCCCCCAAGACGGCCGAAGAGGCCTCCAAGACGCTCAAGATGGCCTCCAAGACGGCCCACGAGCCCTCCAAGACGTCCTCCAAGAAGTTCCGAAATAATCAAAATAGCCTCCAGGCGGCCAAGATGACCTTCAAGATGCCCACGTGTTCCCCGAAGGCTTTCCAAACTGTTTCGGGGAACGCATGGTCCGATAGCTTGGCAGGTCTGTCCTCAACGTTCGGCCACATAGGCGTTTCCACAAAGGCAGGGGGCGGCGGTGATTCGCCGTAGGCGTCTTCGATAATCAGTCTTCGGGTGTTTTGAAAGATGCCCGCCGTCTGTATACGTGGGCTCTCGCTCGCTTCCCCATGCGTGCACGGCGAACACTGAGAATGACAGCCCAAGAGGTCCCGAAAGGCCCCCAAGACGCTCTCATGAAGCTCTAAAGGAGCTCCAATAAGCCCCCAACAGGCGAGCAAGAGGCGTTCAGGAGCAACACGCAACAACCGCCAGTTCCCCAAGGGGTCGGCTGTGTGGCGTAACCCCAAAAATCAAAACCAGCATGGGCCCATTTGCTTCAGCATGCCCGTGACTCTTATCCTCCGAGCAGAACGTGCTGCCACAATAAAAAATTCGGAAGGTCCCCGCGTGGCACCTTCCCTCGTGCCCCCACTTTGCGCCCTTCCCCCATCCCCGTTTGCGTGGCCAGTCCTGGCGAACTGGAACACATCCCGAAGAACAAGATCCAAGCCCAGCCACGTCTGGAACAGACAAGGACCAATCGCGGCTGCCCTTACACGGAGGATGGTGCACGCACGTGTGGAGACGCAGAGTTGCCCGATTGCATGCGTTCTCGATTTCAAGGCACGAAGCGATGGAGTTGTCGACCACACTCAAGTCACATCGAAACGAAAGCGATCCCCAAACTCGTGTTCGGACTCCTGGGGAGCCCTCGTAGGTTGTTGGGGCAACACTGGTGCCAAGTACGGATGACCCTGCTGACCTCTTCGCGATTCAGATAATTAGGTTATGCGAATGTGTGTATGTGTGTCTGAATGCATGTATGTGTTTGTGCCTGAGCCTTTCCGGCTCATTTTGGGCCGCTGAGGGCATTTTAAGGCTTAAGGCCATATATATATAGTGTAGCCTAGGGAGGGGGCTTCGAAAAGCGTGAAGATGGTGATGATCAAGATGATGATGTATATGTATATGTATGTGTATATATATGTGTGTAAACCTATACGACCACCCTTCGGGTGATGCGGAGGTTCGGGGGGGAGGAACCAACGTCTCACTCGATCGGTCTCACTATCGATCTCAGTATCGATCTCACTATCGGTCTCGCTCGATCGATCTCACTCGATCGATCTCACTCGATCTATTTCATTCGACCGATCTCACAATCGATCTGACTATCGATCTCGCAATCGATCTCACTCTCGATCTCACGATCGATCTCACAATCGATCTCACATTCGGTCTCACTATGGTCTCACTATCGATATCATAATCGATCTCACAATCAACGTCATCATCATCATCATCATCATCCAAATCGTCATCGTCATCAACATCATCAACATCATCATCGGGACACCATCATCATCACCATCACCTCAACACCATCATCAACATCATCACCACCATCACCACCAAATTTTCATCATCATCATGGGGACACCATCATCGTCACCATCATCATCATCAACATAATCACCATCGGGACACCATCATCATCATCATCGGAACACAACTTTCACCATCATCATCATCATCCTCTTCTCATCATCATCACGAACAGCATCATAAACATCATCAGCATCATCATCATCATCATCGGGACACCATCATCATCAGCGACATCATCATCAGCATCATCATCGGGACACCATCATCATTAACATCAGCATCATCATCATCATCATCATCGGGCCACCATCATCAAAATCATCATCGTCACCTCATCATCATCCTCATCCTCATCATCAACATTATCATCATCATCAGCGGGACACCATCATCGTCACTATCATCATCATCATCATCATCATCATCATCACCATCATCATCGGGACACCATCATCATCACCATCATCATCAACAGCATCATCATAACCCTCATCATCATCATCGGCACACCATCATCATCATCATCATCTGCATCATCATTATCTCATCACCATCCCATCGTCACCAACATCATCAGGATCACCAACATCATCACCATCATCGGGACACCATCACCATCATCAGCAATAACATCATCAACATCATCATCATCGTCATCATCATCGGGACACCATCATCATCACCACCATCACCATTATCATCATCATCATCAACATCGTCAACATCATCATCATCATCATCATCATCATCATCATCATCATCATCATCGGGACACCATCATCATCACCACCATCACCATCACCATCGCCATCATCATCATCGTCATCATCAACATAAACGACATCATCATCATCATCATAATCATCATCATCATCATCATCATCATCATCATCATCATCGGGATACCGACGGGACTCCGGCTGGACACCGGCGGGACACCGCGGGCCACCGGCCCCACGGAAGGAAGCATTTGGTCCGGCCGCGCCTCAGCCAGAGGCGGGACACCGGCGGGACATCTCGGGCCACTGGCCCCAGGAAAGGAATCATTTGGTCCGGTCGCGCCTCAGCCTGAGGAGACTTTCTTCTCGCCCGCCCACGCAGCTTCGCCTCGCCCGCACGCACGGCACGCACGAACACGAAACCGAAACCGATTTCCCGGTAGGAGGGCTCTCCGTTCCACTTCGATCTCACCCCCTCACCGCCGATGAATCTATGTATACGTATATGAGTAGGTATCTGTAGATGTGTTTGTATATGTATATGTTTAAGTACATGCATATACGAAGAGATAGGCATATGTATGTCCATCTGCATAGGTATGTGTATATGTCTAGTAATATGCATAGATGTTTATGTTCATCTACATGTATTCGTATATGTATATCATATATGAGTGTAAAAAGATATGCACGTATGCACGTATGCATGTATGTTTGCACGTAGGTATGTATGGGTGTATGTATGTTTGAGTATTGTTGTATATGATTGTATATATGTATGTATGTATGTATGTATGTATGTATGTATGCATGTATGTATGTATGTATGTGTGTATGTATGTAGTTATAGGTATATGTATATATCTGTATATATATAGGTATAGGTAGTGGTATGTCGGTATATGGCTGTGTGTATGTATGGATTCATTCATTCATGTATGTATGTATGTATGTCTGTATGTATGTATGACTGTATTTATGTATGCTATGCGTGCTGTATGGCTACCCCAACCCTGCAAGTTCGCGCCCAG